ACTTTTCAACTCTCTCGACTCTTTCTAGCGCAAAACAGTCGCGAACTGTGAACGTTGCCTTATTGGGCTCACACTACTGGCAGAACAAAAGCATAAGCTGAAGCTTTTTTAGGTTTCAGAATAACTTTCTCATACATCTCACACCAATAGTAATACTTTTTTAGAAAATTGCCCCTTTTGGTATGTGCCGTGCAAGGCAATTGGGTTTTTGGGTTGTAGAGCCATTTGGTGCATGTAGACAGAGACTAGCATGAACTAACCGATGCTTTTTGTAGATTTTTATCCCCTCTTACACAAGCACGGCTCTGAGAAACAATCGGAGTGAAGAGGGACATTGTTTCATGGTCTGGGCTCCGACAGGTCCGTGAACCTCACAACCGACAACAGTCGCGACACTATGGTACCTTCGCATAGTATTCCTTTCGGAACCCTCAGTGCACGAAGGGGTTCATATAAATAATGTGTAGTAAACGTTATGAGCCTAAGATAGCTCAACTTCCCGAAAACTCGTGGTTTAGGTGCAGAGGCCAACCGTTTCTCTTACATTTTAGCGCTGTTGAGGCTTGAAGGCACGGAATAAATGTGATTATTATAGAATTCATATAAAATGAACGGAAGAGAATCGGTGACATGATATATTTGAACCTAATGTCCCAATTTCGTGTCGCCTGAGTCACCGAACCGGTGCAGGACCTGTGAAGGAGGATAGAAATGCCCACCTTCCTGCCCGGGTAAGCCATTCACTAAGCCGGATGCGTCTCCGAATGTTACGATTCCGGATGGAAATAGGACGCGTGGCGCATTCCAATAGTGACTATTAGAACACTCCCGCTGCAATAATCCAAATAGCCTGGAAAGACGAGCTTGGAACTTTAGCTTTTATTTGCGAAGTGTAAAAAGTACGACTCTAAAGCCAGATGCGCTCCAAATGTTGTTATGATTCCAGATGGAAGTCGAACACGTGGCGCATTCCAAAGAGTCACCAATGCCGAGCGCTTCATCCCTTTCGTGATTGGAGTCACATTCTGTTAGGTTAAAGTGAACAGTCTACGCTGATAGCAATGTCGTCGACAGACGAACAGACCAACAAATGAGTCTTCCTCGTTGGCGGGTCACACCTCATTATCGTCTCAGACGAGTACAGTGAGCACCACTGAGGAAGGTAAAGTGGTCAACTGTCTCCGCCCACACGATCAGAGTGGACTGTGCAGCCTTTACCTTCTTATCAAATTGGAACACCCCGCTGCAATAGTCCAAACAGGCTGGAAAAAATAGCCTGGAACTTTAGCTTTTATTTGTGAAGTTTAAAAATTATGAAAAAATAAGATAATTTTTGCAATAAGCAATTCAACCACGCTCAAAAAATCGCCATCAAAGGGGTCAAATAAAATGAAACCCTACATATTTCTATGTAGAACTGAAGGTATTTCAGTGTTGGACTGTTTAATTGTGATGCCAGTACCACTTCATCTAGTCTACATCGATGTCTCCTACAATAATTTCGACACGGGATGCGCTCCCAGATTGGATTGGCGATTTGCCACAAATGGATTGCCTTCGAGTGAATAACAACCGACTAACCGGCCTTCCTGATAGGTGAGTATCTGCTGAATTTCTCACTTGCTGACGGGAATGGACAGACGGCACCACGACATTTTGTGCTGTGTTGGTTGCGGCGACGCGGCGCTGAACTTACAAGTAGACAAAAATAGTAAATGAGAAAATTGTCACAAGAATTGGTATGAGAGAAAGCGTGAAAATAGCTACAAAAATGTAACCAAAAATAAGAAAAACCTTAAGAGAGGCACATGGAAACCGCTTTCAGATAGAGGACGGCATGAACAGTGCAATCCTTCCAGCCCTTTGCGAATCAATGGGAAGATCAAATCAATGAATTCAGCGCTGCAATTGCAGACGCTTGAACCCGTCCAGTAACGTAATCGTCTTGACAGGCTTCCTGTAGGGTAGACAATCAGGAATTCAATCCGCCCAGGGACACCCTGAGGGTGCAGGGTGTCCCTCACAGACCATTGAAGCCTACTAAATTGCCTCATTGAATATACAAGTAAAAACTCAGACAGGTAAGTTTGAACCTGGGAAAACTAGACACAAAGAGCAGCTCAGTAGTCAACTAGATGTGTCTTTCGATACATTTGGCACCATGTGCACGATTTTGCACTATGTATTTAGCACAATGTGCACGACTTTTGGTCAGCACGACGTGCCCAGAGATGGTTTCAGACTGCTTATCAATTGAATAAAGCACCAACCTAATACAATCCATAGACCGTAGACAGGGAAAGGCGTGGCGTGTATGTGGCGAGAGAATCGTAGTTCGCCGCGCGCGTGTAGGTGTCGCGTGCGACGTCGCGCCCGCTAAAAAGACGATTTTAGGTGGTATTGGTCCAATGTACAATGTATGACCAAAAATAGAAATAAGTGCCTATCATGCCTTTGTTTACATGAAATCCGATGCTTCAATTGAAAGGGTAGTCCAAATTAAGGAAACGTCGTACCCAATGCCGCGCGCGACGAAAGGGCAATTACGATTCTCTTGCCCCTCTCAGAGAGACGTGGCTGCGAAAACTTCTCTTCTCTTTTATTTTTTTCGCAACTTGAACACGGCGGTAAGCTGAGTTTTTCGGGGACTATTTCCCATACATCTCTTTGAGACATTCTAACTCGTCTTGCCCTGTTCTGAACAAAGTCATGATCGGAATTGTCTCTCAAATACCGTATCTCTGTGGAGAGCGTAAGCGCTGCGTCTAAGTGTTACTCGTAGCCACGCCCTTCCCATCTCCGAGATTTGGAGCTTAAGTTTCCGAATTCTTGAAAATCCTCTAAAGAATCTTATGTTTTCAGGTTATTCAACGTCCAATCATTGCGGTACCTGTACTGCAATAACAATCGAATCGCAGTGCTACCATCATCTGTAGAAAATTCCAATCTGATATCTTGCATCCTTCACAACAATCTACTCGAACAACTTCCATCACACTTTTTGCGGAGATGTAACAAGTTTGTTGTTACTCTACTCACGTTTTTTATTATATTGTCACCATTTTATTTATTAATTCAATTATTTTAATTATATCATGCTTTATTATTATTTCATTGCTCACAGAAAGACGGGGCGGGCGCGGATTCTTTCGAAAGCGTGCGGTCGCGTCGCGATAGTCATAAAAGCATTGAGGGGCGCAGTTCGGCGACGGGGAGGGGCATTTTGCACTTTTGCTACTTCTCATCGACGTGTCGACCATCTAGAGAGCCTTTTCGTGAGTTGACAGGTTTCACCATTGTGGCTCGATGAGCTTGCTCCAGCTTCACAGGAGTTCACAGGTTTCATCAGGTAAAGTATGCAAACCGGAACTAGTGGAGCAATGAAAGTGCAAAATGCCCCCCGTTGCCGAACTGCGCCGAATAGGGGACTTATATCTTTCTTTCAGCTGCCCTTACCTACATTTTTCTTATTTTCAGGATTTCAAACATCCACTGACACCTATAAATGACTCTTGCAATCAGAACACTAAACAACGGCGGGTTTCAGTGGAATTCGCGCCCCCGCCATACTTTTGCTGTGATCTCTGCTGCCCATGAATTCATAAAACGTTTTTGTACTATAAATATTATATTGATTACAGATTTTTTTTTGCGTTGCAACCGAATGGGCCATAATTAAATGGTAGTGCTCAGTTGGGTGAGGTAGAAGAATAAGCCGCAACCTCTTTTCGGCCACTTTGGTCACAGGAATTTGCAGGTCTTGGCAGGATAGCCTGTATAGGCTCCGCTGAATACCATTTGGTGCCCCACCAAACCGAACTGCGCCCCCATTTCTGGTCGTCGGCGCCCTTTCAAGCTACCGTTCGTTGGGTTTTGTTTGGTGTCTTTGAGCGCGCACGAAGTTCAAGGGGCGTGGCCTAGCCAGCTCCAATCTCTCCCCAACTATCTTAACGTCCCAATTATAAGTTTCGCGATGCGTCAACTTTATCTTACAGGCTCCGCCATCTAAACGTCTCATTCAACTGGCTGACTACCCTACCGCCGTGAATGTCCATGGCGATCGGAATCGGATCAATATTCTGCGTCTCAGCAACAATCGATTAGATGAATCGATCGTGCCGATACTGATGAAGATGAAGCGGCTGAAAGTGCTAGACCTTTCACATAACAAATTACGGTATTTCGATGACAGGTTTGTTACCAGTCGTAGTTTTTCGTAAAAGATCAGAGGCTATTTCGCCATCGATCAATACTATCGATTTTTCCTCAGATTTTTTTCCTCTAGATTTTTCCTCATACTGAATTCGTTGAATTTTAGCGCTCTGGGCTCACTAAGCCTACTAGAGGAGTTAAATCTAAGCTCGAATAAACTTACCGCACTTCCGTCCTCTATCTTCGAACTGCCTGCTCTACAGATTCTCAAGGCTCACTCAAATCGTATCAAGGCTATTCCCGATCTCTCCACTTCGCTCACGCTTCAGGTGAAGGGTCCTTTCATTAGCCTATATTAATCAGTAAATTACCACTATTATTATTATTATTATTATTATTATTATTATTATTATTATTATTATTATTATTATTATTATTATTATTATTATTATTATTATTATTATTATTATTATTATTATTTGCTTTGATTTGATTTTCTCGTTCTTGCCCCATTCCCCCCCCAGTCGCACGGAAGAGAATCGGACGCGGCTGGATATTTTAAGGCGCGTGCCTGTGACGTTGCGTTCATTTTTTGGAAATCCAGGAAATTTTGGCACCGTGAGAGCACACGCGTGCGGGTCGCAGCTTGCGTAAAAATACTGACTGAAAAATCTATGGAAATTAATGTTCCCTGCCAAGGGTCAAGGTGATCACAGAGCGACTTGTGTGTTGGCAGGTGCACGTATCTCTCGAATGGACCGTCGACCAGATCCTGCTTACAATTCACTTTCTCAGCCTCTGCGGAATAACTAAGCAAGGGCCAGGCTCCTACATATAGCCCTATGATTTTGATGAAAGGCGTATGCGCGGCGCATCTCCCAGATACTGAACGCTGGCAACCATATGACCCGTTTATTTGAAAAAAAAATTGAATTAGAAGAGAGGAGCTGGTTTCACTGGCTACATTTCTTTTGAAGGAAGAACCCGCGATTACTCGCCATCTCAGATGGTGGATTAGGGGGTTCCATATGAGACGACAGCACCGGGTTTGGGTAACTGTGAACAAAAAACAGCCACAAAAACATGCTCTAAGACTAGACCCCATTCAATCCCAGTTTGTACGTGCCCAATCAACTCTATCTCCAAAACTACGCCCTCATATGCACGGCTGATTCACCGATAAGATTTCTACGATCGTACAAGTGGCGATTATCATGCTTTTTCGTCCTGCAATCTCATTTTTCACTGGAAGCCGGGCATTGGAGGTGGACTCACTGGAAAAAGAGCGAGCCACTTGAACTCTTCACTTGCGCTACAGCGCCCCTTCCATAGAATTTTTCGACCGAAACATTCTCTGGTACAACGGTTGTTCGTCGCGGCACTCGATTATCCCTGACGCCACATTTCAACGTCGATACTCTGATCCGCGGACCGTGCCTTTAATATTGATAATTCCAGACGATCGATATGTCAAACAACGCTCTTGGAGCTCAGACAACGTCTATTGCTACCGGACCAGCATTAAATCAATTGGATCTCACTTGTAATTCAGCGCTTAATCTGACCACTGGAACGTTGAGGTAAGTGTGCCTCAGAGACTGTCGGGTCTTGACCTTGCTTCCGAGCTTAGGCAGCGTTCAGACTTCGCGACGGGAGCGCCGTCGGCCACGCGTTGTCGAGCGCGTCGACGCATTATTTGGTTTGTTTGACTGCATCGATCGCGTCGAACGGCGACCGAAGCTTGCCGTCGCTCGAAGTCTGGAACGCATTTATACTTCAGTTAGACAAAGAATATTGGCTTACCTAAGCACGGCGTAACCCTAGCGTGTTCTCGTTTCAGGCGAAGCCACAAGAAACCAGTAGCGTTATTCGATATTGGCGCTCAACCACAGGAACGGGTTCAGGTGGGATTTTCGGAGACGTCGGGAAATTCGTAACATAGTAGTTATTTTACCAAGGGGACAGGTTCTTTTCTAAGAACTAAGAAAAACCATGTTTTGTCATGTGGAAAAATAAGCCAGAAATAAGAAACCAGCTAAGTACAACCTGAGTACAATCCCATTTGCGCTTATATTTCTGAGGCACTAGTTAGAAAGTCTAGGTCTTTATGAGATGGCCCATAAATGTACAGTCGTCATCCGGGCATTTGATTAGGCGCTAAGGGTCGCAGACCGCGGCCTGCGGCGCCAATCACGACCGCGGTGATCAGCTGTTTCCAGCCTATTTTAGCCATTTCTCCCTAATTTACACTGCTATGGCTGCTTTTCTCAAGATTAGTTGTTCCTTGTCTTCACAAGGTAAATTATGATTGAGATTTCTCTAATTTCTGGGAACAATTCAATAATTTGTAAACAATCAAATAATACCTAAAAGTCGCCAAAACACTTCATTACAAAAAACAAAAATAATTCACGTCCTAATAATATTTCATAAGACAAAAACCAACCACCCTGGATAGAAAAATAAATATACAATGAAAATGGGGGAGAAAATGGCCAAAATAGGCCTGGAAACAGGTGTTCGCCGCGGTCGTGACGCGCCGCAGCCGCGTCTGCGACCCTTTGACCAGCCTAATAAACCGCCCGGATGACGACTTTAACTAGGCGCTTCTTTGTACCACTTCAGACTGTGCATTCGCCGGATTCATTGCGGTGACGTTTTTGGGCGATGATTGATGGCGTCGTTCGAATTACGGAGCTACCAAAAACCTATTCAAACCTTCTCAAGCGCGATTCTACTTATACGGGTTAGCCGTCCGTTCTCTGATCTGTCCCATTCGTTCTCGAAAGTTCCAATAACAGAAATTATTCATTGCAGGGCAACATCAGAACAATCTGCCAGCCGATACCTTCTAAGCGCACGAATCACTGGAAGAGCGGCGACGCGATTGGGAGCCAGTGAGTGGTCGCATCCCTATTCCGTCTCTACAAATTTTCAAATGAATGGTTTGGGCTCACAGTCCACCACTTGAGATTCGGTTTAAAGACAGTCCCGCGTCCGCACTTCATATGCTTAGTACAGTTCAAACATGGAATCGCCTAATTCGGTATACCATAGGTATGCTTTTTGTCTCACGAAGGCAGAAGAACCGACGAAAAAACCCTCACATAAGACCCTTTTTATGCCAATTGATCGTTACACTGACGAGCTAAGATGATCAGGACACTGACCAAGAGGCACGAGAGAGCGCCAGGAAAACGACGGGCGAGAGAGCGAATCTCACTGTCACAACGAAGCGGAAGTACTGGGCGCCCATGGGCCCTGAAACCTGACCGCCTGCTCTTACTTGCGTAGCCATGTTTTCTTTATGGTTTTTGCATTATAAGTACAGCCTTGGTGGGTGCCTACCTGGTCATCGTGCGCGTCTTAAAGGCAGTTGGCACGATACGCTATACAGGTGTAGGATTTGTACAACTGGCTCAACAGAATTCCGTGACCTCGGACAGGCGCTGCGTGAAGCCTTTTCCAAGGAGGGTACCTCTATAACGCCCTATTGAGCAACAACTTTACGTCCCAAACGCCTTCCTTGCCCGCCCGCCCACAAACGGACGACCGTTTCTGACGCTCGTATTCATTCATTTGCTGAGCAAATTATGAAGCGAAGGGATTGGTATAAGCGGCTGGCTAATGGCATGCATATATGCGGTACCAAATATGCCAGCCGCTTTCCTTCAGTAGCGGTGATTGGCAAGATGCGTACGGGAACTCGTCCGAAATCGATTTACAAGTCACTGAGAACGGAGGCTTTTTCTTCGCCGGATTTTGACCGTTTCACTCCGTTCTTTCGCCATTTCCCCACTATACAGCGCCCTACTAGCATTTTAGGCTAAGTAGGAAATCATCGTGCCAACTGCCTTTAAGTTATCGCGCATCGCGCCTTTTTTTCCGTTTCCTGTCGCCAATAAGAAACGTGATGATATTGGGGTGGCAAGTTTGTAAACACCAACAAAGCGGACTTGTCAGTGAACAACGTAAAAAGTAAACCGTCGGAAACATCCTGAATATGGCCTTTTTCACCGTAAATTTCGGACATTGCATATGCAAAAACTACAAAAGTGCAATGGGGAATGTGTACAGTCATCACCTCAGCAAATAAGAAGCGTAGGGACGTAGACTGGAGCACAGCTACGCCGGCCATAAATATGATGCCATTTCCAGCCCGCGAGAATAGCCTTCATACGACCTTCGCTTCCGGGAATGTTGGCTGTACACTGATGAACAGAGAGTGCCCCCTTTTGCCGGCACTTACAGGGACGAGTCTTCGTACACAAATTCCGCGGTAATCGTCAGGGGATGCGGTCTACCGCGTTTTCCTATTGGTCCGCCCTACGACATTACAAAGGGAAGGAGTCTATCAGCGGGAGAGATGCACTTGGTGAGGTGACTGCGCTCATCCTTAATATCACAAGCCCCCGACGTGCTTGCTATGGACTTTCGAGCAACAAAACTAATACTACCCTCAAGGATACCTCATCTCTGTACCGCTTACAACACCAGGATTTAATATGGTCGTTCCGCTGCAGACGCTGAGGCATGTCAGGGAAGCACTATTTGGCGCGACGCCAGCTCGCTTTTCACCAGTTGTGGTCGCTTGCCCTCCAATAATCGCTGGAGATTGGGCTGGCGTCGCTTCTCAACCAACGCCAGTGATACGCCCCTGCGTCTGCAGCGAACATGACTGTATCTACTAGCTAATCATGTGCTGTGCCCTTAACTATCCAAGCCAATCCTTGCCCACGTTATCATTTTTTTCAAATCGGATTTGGGACGACTTCTCATGAATGAAATTTGGAAAGAAGTTGCTACGGTGCACCTCCAAAATTTCAATTACTGACCATCTGTTTCGACGCGGATAACATCTAGCAATTCCAGTCACTTTCAGGTTGCTTGCTGCTTCATCTGGGATCGAGCCACCTGAAACTCTCCTATGTGGGAAATATTACGGCGGCAGTAATGTCCAGTGGGCATTTGGAAAAACTCACTGAATCCGGTGAACTAGACGAAGAGGAGTATGATCGAATACGATCTGCTGGTGGTACTGTGGACGAGGTGGGCAATGATTCCACCTGATTATTTTCGGAAATTTCCTAAAAATCCTTAGAAATTATTTTCCCTGAAATAAGCTGAACATTACTCAAGCTTGACTCGGTTTATTGGTTTTGAATGCGTGAATTACTGGGGCGAATGCGGCTGAGGAGGGGTACATGACGGCGCGACTGTCACGGACGCTATCTCTGTGAGAGGGCGCAGAAAAACACGACGTTTTCCCTCTCTATTTTTATGCGAATACTAACAAAAATATATTTTCACCTGTTTTCAGTGCAACACTATCAATGGTGTCACACCAAACTGTCGTCAGTTGGGCTTCTACAGTCTCCATCCTGTTATTACTCCAAGACCAATCAATAAATCAATACCAATCACCCGCGATATGGACTATGTGATTATAGCGAGCTGGGCGGTTTGGGAATGTCTGAGTAGTGGTCAAATCGCGGCCATACTTACGAGTTCTATCAATCCGCAAGTGGCCGCTAAGACGATTCAGGTAAACTTAAAAGTCCTGGAAGGAGATAGGATACCGTATCTCCAGCTTTCCTTTCAGGACTCACTACAAGCTTGCGATTATACTGGTAACTCGTGGGTTTTGGAAAAAGGTATGTTCTTACCTCTGCTCAATCTTCTGTAGGGTCGACTCCTGCTCGTTGGCCTTTTCGACCCTCATTGGGGGAATCGCCACTGGAGTGAATACTGCTGGTGATGGTGGGGCATTTCGAAATGCCAGCTCTGGTTTCAGTAGTCGTATAACTACTATGCACGAGTTACCAGTATAATCGCAAGCTTGTAGTGAGTCCTGAAAGGAAAGCTGGAGATACGGTATCCTATCTCCTTCCAGGACTTTTAAGTTTACCTGAATCGTCTTAGCGGCCACTTGCGGATTGATAGAACTCGTAAGTATGGCCGCGATTTGACCACTACTCAGACATTCCCAAACCGCC